TTATCAGTCTCTAATAATAATAATATAGCAGACATTAATGACGATGATGATGATGATAACTTTCAAGACTTATTTGATGATGATACAAGTGACAAAGAAGAAGAGAATGAACAAGATTATATGCCAATTAGTATAAATATTGATGAGATCAAAAATAATTTGCATAATGCAATAAACCACTATTGGCCCAATTTAATATCACCAAGTTCACTTTTACCTAGTCTTCTAGATCCCAGGTGTAAAAATCTATATTTGTCTTATTTGCTAAACGATTTGCTACTGAAAATTTACTTCATGAGAAGTATGATAAAATAAAAAATAATATAGATAAAGCAAAAAAAAATATTAGAACAGAGGTTAAATCAACTCCTGCAAAAAAAAAACTAAAAGTAGTATTCTTTCTAGTTTTAAAAACATACACCAGTTACAGTTGAGGAGATTTCTGAATATTTAAAGCTTGAAGAAATTAATATTGAGTGTGATCCTTTTGTGTGGTGGCATGAGTGACATAAAAAATTTTCAGTTTTGAGTAGACTAGCAAAACAGTACTTAGCTGTTTTTGCATCTTCAGCAGCTAGTGAAAGGCTTTTTTCAGATGCTGGAAATTTAATAACTGCAAAGAGAACTCGTATAAGTCCTATGTTATTTAAAAGATTAATGTTTTTAAAAAAAAATAAAAAATACTTGGATAGTATTTATCCATCTTAAGAATAGATCAGTTTATCTGTTATACGTACATACAGTACATAAGTATATATAGTAGTATATATTACCGTTATATAAGATTATTATAAATTTAGATTTTATGGGTACGTACGTACGTATATTTATCTGTTATTAATTATATGTATTAGTAATAACTATTATGTTCCTGGGTTTTAAATATGAATATAGCTTTAGTTGTGATTTAGTTTAAAAGATTCACAGATAAGTATATTACATATATATTAAAGTTATAATTTTTAGATAACGGATTGATAATTTTTTTTTTTTAATTGCTGAATGATTTATCTTAAATTTGGTTTATCCAGAAGTACTAGTTATTTAGGTGATGCATTGTAATAAGACAGTTTAGTACTGGTAGTTGTAACATATATACTTACATTGAATTCAAACTCAAGATAAATTTTCATTATTTAAAAGTCTTTATATTTATTCAGTACACTATATTTCAAGAAAAAATTACCCGTATTATGTAAGTATTATAAGCAGATCAAATCATTGTTCGAGAACCCTTTACTAATATATATTTACTTGTAGAAGTTATACAGTAAAAGAAAAACAGTAAAAAGAAAAATAGGGACTCAACAGGTGATTTTGAACATAATGTTTGAGTATCTAAAGTGTTGAGCTATTATTAGAGATAGTATATTTACTAGTATTATTAGTAGTTTATGCACCTCAATTTTTAATTGATGTGTTGGATAAGTGGCTGAAGTAGTAAGTAAATATGTAATAATAGTGGTAATGGTATTGTGATAATATATTTAAATAATCATCTTCTTATTATCTAATAATAGAAAACAAATATGAATTTAGCGAAATGTTTAGTTTACTACAACGATTAAAGTAGAGCTAAGAATATCATATCAGATAACAGACTACCGGTGGATAACCATCTTGTGGAGAAATTCAAATTAAAAATTTGAAAATGAAACTTGGGCCTGATATTCTTCCAGTTTTTTTGAAGAGACATCTTAGTTGACATTATAGCTAAATTTTTGGTCGAACTGTAAATTTTAAATAAACTTTGGCAACATTATTTTTTAAATTTATCGAAGAATTTCTGAGAGTAACAGATGATATTGACATCAGTACTATTGGATTAAGAGACTCTCGAAGTAATATTACTATTATATCATATGATTTAATGGTACTATAAGGTAAATAAAAGTCTCGATTCTACATATTTGTTATCAATTCGCATTATAGTCCATATATTAACATTGATGTTTTGTAGTTACTATTGTATAATACAAAATCTGATATATGGACAAATATATACGTAATAAATCTATATAATTTTTATATTTTAGCAACTAATAATCTAAATTTGAAACTTAATCAGAATATATCTGGTTTAATTCCTATTAGCAGTTATTTCTTAGCGATATTAGGTACGAATGCTTCTGAGATTAATTATCATTTAAATTAAAGGCTCCTAACAGATATGTTATATTTTTGGTAGTTGGTAAGGCTCTTGGTGATTTGCGAATCTTAAATACTATAATGTCTCAATGGTCAATTAGAAAATTTTAATCCTATTGTGGGTTTAGCTAGCTTTTCGTGGACATACTGCGGCGATTGGCACAATAAATGTTTAATTAACTTACCAAGCCTTATTTGTTCAACAGAATTCTGTAAATAAAGCAAAAATGATTAAGTATTACTTTATTCTTTTAAACTATTATTTTATTTGTTTTTTTTTTACTAATACTAACATTCTGAAATGCAAGTAAAATTAACTTTCATTAGTGTAAACAGATAGGCCAATCAATTATATATTTAATTGGTTAATTTTCAGTATCTGTATCAAGAGCGCCAAGTAGATACTCATTACTATATAAGTACTGTGATGAACTGAACTTTTTTTTTAATGAAATGTTCTTACTTCAACTAGAAATATAAGGCTCAAATTTTTGTTATTTTGCAAAATTGAAGTAGGATTTTTATTTGAAATTGTATATATATATATTTTTTAGTAGATTACAAAATCAGACTCAATGCATTTTCATCTTCACTTTCATTTTCATTTTGAATATTAAGAAATTTTCTTTGAACTTCTTCAAGTCTTTCACTCTGCTTAGATCGTATAAAAAAATTAATTAATTGTTTAATTCTTTTAACCAATATTTTTGCTAGAATTAGTCCTCTTGCGATTACAAGTTGTAATGTATGTGATGTACAATTTAGCCAATTGACTTTTTCTATATTCAATATAGCATTTTTCACATTACGGCCATTATCTGTAGTAATAATAAATGTCTTATCCTGAATTTTCTATTTATTCATGATATTTCCTAATATTTCACTTATATGATCAGCTATATGGGAATATCAGATATATTTTATTGTAAGGACAAACTTACACCATTTATAATCATTATTAATAAAAGAACAAGTAATACCGAGATAATCCTGATGGCTACGAGCCGTCCATAAATCTATACATAATGATACTGAGATTGCTTCATTAATTAATTTTTCTTTGAGGATTGGCAAACTATATTCATAGATAGTATAAATTAATTATTAACTGTTTCCTCACAAGGCATAATAAAAGTGGGGTCTAAATCATTAATGAACTTGCAGAATACCTCATTGCTTACAACATAAATTGCCTGTGAATCTTTTATAACCCATGTTGTAAGTGACTGTCTTAATTGATTTTGCCGGGCCTCAGAATGTTTTTTAATATTTGATACACCTTGCTTATTATTCTATTAATATTAATGAATTAACTATATAATTAGTAATATTATATAAAAATATTAAATATTAACTAATCTAGTAATAGACTTAATTACGAACTTTAGTTTTTCCTTGTTTAATTATTTCATGCGCATTTCGGAGATGCACGATTGCATTTCCTGTTGATCTGCTAGTATAGACATATGATGTATCACAATTAGTATTATCATTATTTTTCTCTTGGCAAACAATTATTGGGATCTTTTCTCCATTTATGTCTCTAATTTTGGTTTCCTTAAAGTGCTGCCAGATTCAACTAATCTTGAAACGTTTTTTATCTTTGTCTAAAGCTTTTTTTTTTGTTTGAAGACTTGATTGAAGTAGAATTATTAGAATGTTTTTCTGACATTTTGAAAAAATAATACTGAAGAAAAAAAACCCTGCCAAATAATATATATATATATATTTATAGACCACTAAATAACTAATAGTGCTTTATTACGTTTATAGTCTTAAAAATATTACATATGATATATTATTATTATTATTCTGTTTATTAATCATAAAGCAGGTATGTTGCATACAGTAAATTAATATCCGGGTCTAAAGATACAAAGATTGACATTAAAATTAACAGGGATAGTAATTTAAGTCTGGATATTAATATGTACAGTCTTTATTGTTATAGGGCTTTGGGACTTTTTGATTGATTATTTATTGGACGAAATCTTTGACCCTCTTGATCAAATTTGTTTTATTTTAAATGAAATTATATCAATTTGATCAACATTAGAGATTAAATGTTAGGATAATAATTAAATAGGCAGGTATGTACATACATATAATACCCGGTCTAATTAAAATTAACAGGAATAATAATTAAGTCTAGTTTAATTAGGCAGGTACGTACATAATATCTGGGTCTAAATCGACATATAGTAAACAATGGCCACTACTGTACTATTGCCCATTAAACTGTTTGATAGTCTTTAACAATAGACATAAAAACCCCGCAATTGTCTTGCAGTTTATCCAATAGTTTAAAAAATTCCCATATGTATATACAGTACTTGTTCTGTACTTTGTCTAGTACTTGAAATGAACTTTCTTCAGTGTTTGAATTATTGAGTTCGTGTATAATTATACTGCATTTCTATAGAGTATGTTGATTCTTATACAAAATATATTAAGTATCAGATGATTTATGATTGCATCATCATCGTAAGAATCATATTATATCATCGTCTGTCTTATTTTTTTTAATCTATTATTGTATAAAGTAATCCAACTGACACGAGCTCTTATGCTTTCAAATTTTACTTGTGATTTTAATTTCCATTATATTTAAAAGTTAATCTTTTAATATAATACCTATTAAATTAACCACTAGATCAACCGTTAGATCAACTATTAGATCTTGACCATTAAATCTTAACCGTTATATCAACCGTTAGATCAACTATTAAATTAATATGCACTTCTTGCATTAATACTTGTTCCTTGCATTAATCCGGATAATTTATCAGATAATCCGGTTATCCATCCATTTATTCATTTTATCTATTTATCCATTTGATATCCGGATATCCATGGATAAATGGATAAATGGATAATGGATTGGAACTCTAGTATTGGGCTATAAGATGTTAGAATTTGTCGTAATGAATATATTAAGGTGTTTGAAAAGCTAGATAATTTTGAAGTTTAATGAGTGTCTATTGGAACCATCTATCATTGGTTGTGGATGCTGAAGTATATTGGTAGTTGACCACAGATTATTTTGTAGTTGTTGTAGTCTAATGCAGATAGTGGTTTCTAAGAGGTGGGGACTGTTTAGGCATTGAAGAAAGTTGGTTGTATGATGTTGTAATTAAATATCCCAAATGTTGCAGATATTGTATAGATATAGATTTAGCATAGTACTGTTTGGGATTGATCTTGCAAGATGAGATTTGTGCTTTGCTATTGTAAGGTATTTGGATAGAATATTGTTGCATATGGTATGTGAAAGTACAATATTGTAAATTCTGTATTCTAGTGTAGGAATAATAACTGTGTTAATAATATAAGCAATTTGTTTGTCTATAATTTTCTTAGTACTGGCAATATAAGTTAGTTGTAAAGTTTCATTTTGAATTAATTTAATCTGTTCAGATTGTTTGTTATTGAGAGTAAACCAATAGCCCAGAAATTTAAAGGGTTGTTTGGATGGGATAGATTGGATTGTTGAATTAATGAAGAAAATAGAAGTGGGCTTGGAGTTGGTAGCTAGTATTGATTTAGTTAAGTTAACTTGTATATCTGCTATTTGATAGAAAGATGAGGCCAATTGAGTGATTTGGATTAATTCTTCTTTAGATTGGGCTATCCATAATATGTCATCTATATATGCAAGTACTGAAGCTGAAGTTTGGAGATGTTGGCTAGTTTTGGGTTGTAGGTTAGTTAGCCATGAAGTGGATAGTGTATAGCCAGTAAATTGTAAGGAAATTTTATAGATAAGAGGGTCGTAATAGATTCTCCAAAAGAGAGGAGTAATTGTTTCTTCTTGATCAATATCATTTTTAACTGAATAGGAGTTGGTGAGTTCAAAATTTGTGATTATCTTGTTTGAGCAGTCTGATAAAAGGTTGCTAAGTAAATTAATAAGTTTTACTGACATATTGATATGTTGAAGGGATAGTTTAAATAGATTTAAGTTGACAGAGTCATAGGCCTTGCTCATATCCTGAGATAAGAGCCAAAGCTCTT